TGAAATTTCTAACCATCGACTTAATTGAAACTTGCATATTTTGTAAACTAGAGTCTCCTTGTAGCACCACTAACTGCCCTTCGACCAGAAACTTCACTGTCAATTTTCCCCAATCCACCTGCATCTGGCCAAGAGTTCTCAACCGCTTCATTCCTAGTATGATGTCTGTACTGCTCAATGTGAGGGGAAGAAAATCTTCCATAACCCCGATTATTGGTAACGTGACAACAATCCCTTTACAAACACCTTCCCTTTTCACCGAAGCACCTGTGCCCATGGTGACCCCATACTTAGTAGTGTTTGTGATTGGGATTTGCAGCTTTTCCACCAATTCTAGGGAGATAAAATTGTGGCTAGCCCCACAATCTATGAGTACCACCACGACGTGACCACGTAGAATCCTCGTCACCTTCATCGTTTTAGGGGCAGTCAACCTGACCACTGAGTTAAGTGGTAATTCCACCACCTCCTATACCTCGTTTTCCTCCTCCTCGGTCCTAAGTTTTGTTCATTCCTCCATTCCCTCGTTCTCTTGCACGACGAGAACCTGTAGCTCCTTGAGGCTAAATTTTTAACCCGATTGATATTTCTCATTGCACTTATAACACAGCCTTTTCTCTCTTTTCAACTGGAGTTCCGCATCAGTCAACTTCTCGTAAGGCATTTCCCCTTTTCCCACCACCGAACCGCGTAGATTTGGAGCTGGTTTCGTTATGGCTGCTGGGAGACATTGGACTCACATGCTAAGATTCTGAGAGGGTTGGGAGTAATTAATTGGGCTGTAAGTTATATTTCCTAAATTACTTCTCACCTTAGTTGGGCCATTCTGGAATTGGGCTTGTCCAATGGCATCATTTCTGTCCTCCACCCGTTGGGCCAACACCATAGTGTGGGGTAAACCACGGGGCTTCATCATTCTTACTTCGGCCCGTATAATAGGGGCCAGCCTATTAATAAAATTGCTCTCTAGTACTTCTTCAGGGGGGTGGGTAACGTAGCAGCTAACGCCTCAAATTGGTGCCGGTAGTCCCTAACGATGCCTTCCTGTCTTAATGCCAAGAGTTTCTCCAATTGCGTGCCCTCTTGTGATGGCCGAAAATGCTCCAGGAGCAAGGTTTTCAGATCTACCCATCGCCTCAAAGCTTGTCTGTTGTCTTCCCACTGATACCAAGCAAACGTTTCTCCTATGAAGCATACCGTCATTGCCTCCAACTTCTCCCAATTGTCAATTGATTCATGTTGAAATATCTTTCTGCCCTAAAAATCCATCCATCTGGATTCTCACCATCGAAAATGGGCATTTCAAGTTTTCGGTTCTGGTAATCTGTTCGACCCCCTTCCTCCCAGTTCTTCCTTCATTCACTATTGTTTCCCACTTCGTTGATCTCGACTGGAGCTTCAAAATTAATTGGGGGTTCTGGGTGTGCCTCCTGGGTGCCTTTCTCCTTCCTCCATTTTTCTGATTCGGCCCACTGCCCCATCATCACATCAAATTTTTCATCAGTGCTGCCATATTGTTCTGCACGCCTTCTATTTTTCCTTCTAAGGAATCCACTAGGTCAAATAACATCATATTTCCTTCTCTTCCTCCCAGATACCGGATGCTCTGATACCAAAATTGATAGGAACATGAACTGGAAATTAAATTATTCAAGCAGCGAAAGAAAAGAATTGAAAATTAAACTGTGATTTCGCTGAATTGAAAAAGAAAGACACAAGATATCCTAGAGCATTCGAGAGGTACTGGATAATCCTTCCTATTAAACCATTGTTGCTTTCATAAAGAAAATGACTAACCCCTCCCCTTCACAGGGAGCCAGGATTATTTTTCAGTGCGGGCACAATTTAATGCCGAACTTTGAGTTTTTGACTATGAATTTAATGATGATAAAAATATAGAACAATATTACAACAATACTAAAGATGACATAGCATTATTCTATAAAAATTCTATAAAAAAAGGACATCAAGAAAGTTCGATATAAGCTAATCACCTTGTAGTTGGCAGTAGCATGCTTCTCAAGAATTGAAGCCTGGGCTTTGTATATGAAACATTATTTATTATCACATCTTTCCTAGGGAATCCACCAACCATTACTGTAATGTTGACTCCATTGCATGTTTCAACAACATTAGTTGTTGCAACACCACCCAATTTAAATAACATAGTAGATAGATGCAAGTTATCCACTTTTAACTTATATCTCATCTGGCATACAAAATGTCAAAATTCATGAAACTATTGACGATTATTTTCATTACTCAAGAGTAAATAACTAACCTTTAAGAAGAGGGAGTGCAACAATGACCAATCCCATCTCACTTCATTAAGTGCCTCAGCAACAAGTGGAACATCTAGTATGTGAAGGATGACAGATTGGTTAGCGCCCTACATCACATCCCTAGCAATCATAAGAGCAAGAGCACATCCAATTTGCCTACCAAATTAGCAAGCTTCAATCAATCTAGTTCTAGAGATAATATAGATTTAAAATCCAAAGAACAGTACTTGAGCAAATTAAATATTTTGATTCAGACACTTGAATAAAAACTGCTGACACTCAACCATATAATACAACTCTCTCTATTTCTTGAAATGTTGCTTAGTTTGACTATGATCAGTTTTCCAGATAAGCTACTAGTTTAGAACACATTTTCAGTTTTTTGTTCGCAATAGAATTCAAACAATGTATGCGTTTGAGTGGAAGGATTCAAGATTCAAGAAATTTCCCTCAACAATTCACAACATCCAATTGCTGGAAGCATTTCAATTCACAGAATCACAAATACTAAAAGCAAAAATAGAGCAATTCACAGTGGCAGTAATACTAGAAGCAAAAGCAATTCACATTTCACAGAGCAATGAATTCACAGAGCTAATTCCATATACAATACAAATTAATACATGATTTTAATTCAAGCACAATGCTCAAGAAAAGATTGATAGGCAATCTAACTCATAAAACACTATTAAGTTCACTATAGGTTTCCAAAAAAAAATTGAAAGTTTAAAACATTAAACAAATCAAAATAACAAATAAAAAGAAAAGAGAAACAAGATTGCTTTGGGGGCTTCACCTTCTTCTTCTGCTATGTTGCCGTCTGTGGAGTCACCAGTGGAATCGAAGGTGTTTGCCGACTACCGTCTAGAGCTCGAAAATGAAAAAAATCGCAGGAGATTCCAAGATTGGAGGAAGACGGTGCCGGGTGGTGAGAGTTTTTGAGAGGTTGAGAGGTTGAATGGCGGAGCAAAATAGTAAAGATTGAGCAGCTGTGAATGTCCCCGAAGTCAAATGGTGGAAGGAGAAGAAATGGGTGAACTAGTAGTGGAATGGTATTGATATGGGTTGGATAATTGAATTGGATTTGGGTTTCTTGGTTAGGCGAATTCTTAAAATAAAAAAATAAAAATAAAAAAGGTTGGGCCCAAAGGATGCCCGCACTGGATCTCATTGGGCTCCGTCCCTGCTCCCCTTTACATTTATTGACAATTCCTAACAGACTCCATACCCCTTCTCCAACAACAAATAACCGAATAACAAGAAATGAATATATGTTTTCTGTTACTTAGTTGACTTGGCTCCTTAGCTGATTTGGATTATTCCTTCTTGCATATGTGAAAACTACCAGGGGCCTATCACATACCTTTCATCTTAGAATTAGAGTTTCCACCAGAAGAATTAACCATGGTCTTTCCAATCTTTAGTCATGAGAATACCCTCACCACTTTGAAAATCTTTTATTAACTCAATCAGTGATATGTCCATTTTACAGAAATTATAATCAACTTTGAATTGGAAAAACATCTCTGCGAAAAGCCCCCAAAACTATGTCGATTTAAGTCTTCAAGTCAACTTTAGACCCTGAAACCTCGACAACGTTAAGTAGTCCAACCATGATCAACATGTGATCTCTGACAGGCGTCTTGAGTTTCATGTGTAGGTTTATTATAGAATTAATGGCAGTTTGCTTAGGCTCTGCTTTGGTTTCCAAGCATATCCTTGAGGCTTTCCATTATGTCCCAAGCAATTTTCATTCTTCCTTGTTTCTGCTACAAAGTATTCAACATGGAAGCTAGAATGTAGCAGCGGTCCATACATCATAGTGCACCACTTGTCATATACAGCCTTTGCTTTAGGAGTGGACACCTAATTTGGTTAATGGAGAAAGGTATCGTCTAGCAATAATTTATATTTTTCCATAGTAAGAACAATCATTAAATTGTATATCCAGTCAACATAATTTTCTCACACACAATGAATTAAGAAACATTGCTCCGAAATAATCAAATGACATGCATAAGTAATTTAAGCAAGTAATGTGATATGTGCAATGCTTATTTATATGTAGACCAATTATTACATTAACACAATCACTTCAACAAAAAGACTCTTCTGCAACACTCAAAAGGCAACATTCATTGATTGAATGTTACTAAAGGAGTCTATGATAGCATTCAAATAAGTGAATGTTGCGATTGGTTAAATTTATTGAGCTTTAGCAACATTTTATAAATGAATGTTTCTAACGTCACTTTTTGCAAAGTTCATTGATAGTTGCGAAAAGTTTTTTTTTTTTTTGCTACATTCGTTGACCATTGTTAAAAATCTTAATATAGTAACGTTCATGACCGTTGTTGAAAAAAGACATTTGCGACGTTGTCTGACTATTGCGAAAAGTATCATTCTTGCAACGCTCTTTAAACGTTGTGAAAGGCTTTATTTTAATTCTAACCAAACATTTTGCAACGTTCTCGCTCTTTGAAAGTTGCGTAAGGCTTTATTTTAATTGCAACCCAAAATCCCCTATTCAATTTACACTCACATGATAACAACTCGCAATAACGAAGCCAAAACTCCTAAAAACCTCATAGCCTGTTTGGGAGTGATTTTGAGAATTAATTTTTTGATCGTGAGGAGAAAAGTGGGGTCTATCTTTGAGAGAGTCAAATATGACGGCTGAAATAGTGAAATAACGGTCAAAAAATTAATTTTTTGGGCAAAAAAATCCCAAGAACCCTAGTCAACCTGTCAATCTTCGACTTTCCACTCTTGTCCCTGAGTATCTTGCGACCTCCCCGATTCAACCCCTTCCATCAACAGAAGAAGGAGGTAAAGAAGGAAGGTCCCTTGTCCATTCGTTTCACGACCTCTTCTTCTGGAAAATGCTAAGTGCGTGTTTATTTAATTCTTGATTTTTTTTTACATTTTTACTGTTTGATATGTTCTATTTTTGTTCGTTAGGGTTATACTATGCAGTGATTTGCTCGATTACTAACTTTTCCTAATTCTCCCCCTTTTTTGTGTTTTTGTTTTTCTTAGTTTATATACAGGGAAGGTACATCGCAATCTGGTGGTTTCTCTTGGACTTCTTTAGTATAAGTAGTTCTTATTTCTCCCTGTTGACACATAAAAATTCAGCCCAAATCGAACAGCCCAAGGAGTAAAGCCCAATTGGAGGATCCCCAAATCAGATAGCCCAAAGAACGAAGTCCAATCGAACGAATCAAGGTGAAGGCCCAAATAAGGGGGCCCAAGAATGCGGTAACGCCATCGCCCAAGTTTACAAGTCGCCCAGAATCTGAACGAATAGAGTGTCATACGGTCGCCCAGAGCTGTTATTCTATTCTCGCCCAAACCTTCAAGTCGCCCAAGGTATCAACAGACATAACGCGTCGTGGTTATCAAGAAATGCAGTTATCAAGGCAGTTGTTAAAGTAGCCATATCACGTTCCACGACTCGAGGAATTCAATCGAAAGCGGTTGAACGATGAAAGGTAATGACAGCAGTTAAAAAGCAGTTACATGACAAAATGGCCACTATGAAGAAAGTGGGTAGTTATAGGACGATCAAGCAGTTTTTAGAGTAGTTAATCACAAAGAGATCGTCTATGAAGTATAAAAGGGAGAAAGGACGTAGAAGCAAAGGATCGAATCCAAAACTCTCGAACAGAGAATATGTAATTTTCATTTCCTTAGTTTTTAGACTTAAACACTTTTCTTTCAGTAACTCATGTGCTTGCGCCCCTTGGAGGCACGTTGTTTTTCGTTCCCAATTGTAAAGTCATCGCCAATAAAAGAACACCCCTTTTTGGGACTTTGTCTCAAGAGGTTTGTCCCTTACACAATCGTCTGACCCTTTTTAATTGTTAGCGACTAATCCGCGCGAAACAATTTGGCACGTCCAGTGGGACAGTGGTGTTAGGTGTTGAAAATACAATAGGGGAAACAATATGCCTCAGAGATTCGATAAGAAAGCAGCAAGTCAGGGAGGAATCCAGTCTGTAATCGAGCGATATGAGGAGCAGCATGCCTCTCCACGAACAGATGGACAAAATCAGAGCAGTAACAGTCGTTATGAACCAATGACGGAGTTGAGTCCTCGAACCATGCATGCATTACTCGGAGAACTCACGCAAGACGTCGTTGAACAGGTAAATCTTCGAAGTATTCATAATATGGAAAGATTTACACAAAATGGGAATGTACACTATGACAACATGGCCAAACAACTAAAGACGTTGAATGAAACAATGAACAAGTTAGTGGGCCAAATATGTCAACCGGCTATACCTCTTACAAGTCACTTTCAAACTAGGACAATTGTAGGACATAATCCTTCGATCCCAAATCCGAGTCAAGGGGTAGAGCCACTTTCTGGTCCCTCTACTTCAAACCAAGGGGGTACTACAGTACCAAATCAAAGTAATGGTAGTGGTATGCCTAACTTAGGGGGTAATCCAAATGTGAGAGATAATGTCCTAAACAATTGACAGAATATTCCACGTGGTAACGAGGGAGTAGATGTTCAGGCTAATGGTAATGGCCCTAATCATGGTAACTTTGTTGCCAATCAAGGACCAAACATCAGGCCTCATGCAAACCGACCGGTTAACCAACATGTAGGAATTCCATATGACCCCAACGTCATGTTGAGGAACCAGATTATGGAAATCGTACAGGATCAGATGGCTTTTAGGGTGCGTCCCGTCATTAGGCCGACGTACACAAAGCCATATCCTGATTGGGTAGATCAAGCATATCCATGACCTAGAGGATACAAAGTGCCAGAATTCTCACTATTTACCGGTTTAGGAGAGGTGTCTACTCTAGAACACATAGGGTGATTCACATTGCAAAGTGGTGATGTAACCGATTACCATAAGATGAGACTTTTCCCTAGTTCGTTAACAGGAGTAGCTTTCTCCTGGTTCATCAACTTGCCAGCGAACTCTGTTCAAACATGGCAACAATTAGAACAGTTGTTTCACGCTCAGTTTTATAAAACTGAGTCTGAAGTCACTTTGGCCGATTTGGCGAATTTATGTCAAATGCCAAAAGAATGGACAGAAAGTTTTCTCCAAAGGTTCAAGACAGCAAGAAGCAAATGTTTTGTACCTCTGCCCGAAAAAGAATTGTCAAGATCGCTCAAGGCTGCTTGAGCTTTGATTTAAAAAAGAAGTTCCAGGACAAAGAATTTCCTGACCTTTTCCAGTTGAGTGCAAATGTGATTAGGTATGAGCGACTGATAAGAGAAGAAGAACAAATGAAAAATTCTAGTAAAGGGACTTATTACAAAGACCCAAATTTTGATGTTCATACCATCGACGACGAGTCATACAATCAGGCCGAAATGTGTTTCGCCGAATTGGTCAAAGGGGATACATATACTTGTCCCATAATGGCCAAAACTAGACCATCGGGCAAAGATGAGCCCATAAAGGATGGAAACATAAAGGCTAGAACGTTCTCGTTCGATGTGACCAAAGCTGACCTTATATTCGACAAATTATATAGGGATAAGCAGATAAGATTAAACGATAATCACAAATTGCCAAACCCTGAACAAATTAAGGGTAAAAAATATTGTAAATGGCATAATGCATGGTCACATTTGACTAACAATTGCTTGGTTTTCCATCATGTATTGCAGGATGCTATTGAATCAGGACGAATTACGTTTGATGATAAGAAAGAGATGGCAGTGGACGAGAATCCTTTCCCACAGCCACTTGGAGTAAACATGGTAACATCTGGATTCAAGAACAAGTTACCAAAATTCAAGTTGGTCGTAGATGACGGAGAAGAAGATCCTAGACCACATCCCAGCGTCTTCGAACGAATCAAAGGAAAAGAACCAAAAAAAGGATGAAGACGTCCTGTGTGCAAGGTGTAAAAGGGAAGTAAATGGAAACACGGAGAAACCAGGGACGTGGCAGATCCTCATCGCCCTGTTTTCTTCCCAAACATTCAGCTTGGTAGAGGGCGAGGTACATCATTCTATAGAGGACCGCCTTTTGAAAGGCAGTTCAGACCAGCAGATACTGGAAGAACATTTAGGCCGCAACCTCGCCGGCCAAATGTATGGCATTCATTCCAGTACAGTGCAGGAAGGGTAATACCCTTCGATGAGATGACTAGGACCCAACAAAGGCATTTCCAACGAAACTACAGACGGATGATGAGGCAGCAACAAGGATTGCCACATCCCAAAGCGCCTATACTACTCAAGGTAGCCAATCAAAACGTCCTCAATGGTAGTAAAGAAACCGGTACAGATGAATCAATGAAGGAACTACCAGAAACCTTTTCTGGGAGATCAAGGTTTGAGAGGGATGAAGAAGATCCAGATCAGCCCCTTGCTATCCAATTCGGTACGTTGCCTCCTGTCGTGGCCAATAATTACCTACTAGCCAATGAGTTCAAGAATAAGGAAAAGGAAGAAGAGGGGGAGGACAACGAAGGAGAAGCCTGCGTGTTGATATGTGAAGAAGGCCAGACTTCTGGAGAGGCCTACAACGACGAAGAAGACGATGGGATGACGGACATTGAAGAAGAGATCGATCTAGAAGCAGAAAGGAAAAAGAAAGGAGTATCGCGCAATACTCTGTTTAAACAACTACATCAAGAGGGACTTCGCGAAGTAGACTTGTTGGGGGAGCCATCTGGGCGTCCTTTCGATTTCTATGTACTGTACGGGACACCCAAAAGGAAGAAGAGAGTGCCTCGCTCTGAAAAGTATGGGTCACCTCCAAGAATAATGCCCCCTCCCACAGGTTGGATAACTGATGAGGTAGCATTAGAAAAAATTAAGAAGGAAGTTCAGAGGACAGAGGATCAGCGTGACATACTGCACATCGACTTGTCGCAAGGAGATAATTCGACAGAAAATAAGCAAGAGGTAGAAATAGAGGCTGCCGAAAAGGTTATTTTTAAACGGCCAGCCATGAAATTGACTAAACAATTGAGGCCGTTATACGTTAAAGCTCTAGTTAACGGCGTCCCAGTGGCAAAAGTGCTTGTCGATAATGGAGCAGCTATAAACACGATTCCATCTAGGATGATGAGAAAGTTTGCCAAAACAGAGGGTGACATGATTCCTACAGAAGTCATCTTCACTAGCTTCAATGGAGGAGCAACTTCAGCTAAGGGAGTTATGCCATTAGACATAACTATAGGCACGACTACTAGGACCACTGTCTTCTTTGTAATAGATGGTTCTACTAGTTACAACGTGCTCCTAGGAAGAGATTGGATACACGGAAGTCATTGTATACCCTCGTCGCTCCATCAATGCCTTATTTTTTGGAATGACAAAGGCGAAGCGGAGGTAGTACAGGCCGATCATAGGCTTTTTGTCGCAGAAGCAAACTCGGTGGAGAAGTTCATGTACGAAGGAAACTATGGACCTGTCAGAGTAGTGCAAGACGGGGAAGAAACTCAGGTTGTCGCGTAAAGCGAAGAACCATTCTCAGTGGACGCACTCATTGAGATGTTCAAACAGATGAGGCCAAATATAGTGGCCCTGGAAGAGCCAGTAATTGGCAAAAGAATAATTAAGGAGTCTTGAATGGACTTTAAGTTACAAAAGCAAATGGCCGACATTCAGGCCTTCAAAGCCAGACTGATGGCTTTCAATAAGGAATGCAATGACAAAGCGAAGGAAGAGACTGCCCTAAAAGCGCTGAAAGACAAGTTGGCAGTATTCGAATTAGAGCAAAGCATTGGCCGAGAAGTCAACAAGGTGGACTGTTTGGAAGAAGAAGTACTTACAAAAGAACTGGACAACGAAGTGATGCGGATTGCCAAACCTGGATACGCTCAAGCACAAGACCCTCTGATCAAAGTAAATATTGGCGATGAAGGAGAAGATCACCCAACGTTCATCAGCCAGATGCTCGACCAAGAGGTTAGTAACAAATTAATCGCTTTGTTAAAAGAGTACAAAGACTGTTTTGCTTGGGAATATGAACAAATGCCTGGTTTAGATAGAGACTTGGTGGAACATAGGTTACCGACTAAGCCTAATTTTAAACCTCATAGGCAACCTCCTAGGCGTTTTGCTCCTAATGTACTCCCTGAGATTAAGAAAGAGATAGAGCGATTATTGAAAGCAGGTT